TCCATTACTTTTATCCTCTCATGTTTGGGATACAGTAAGTGAGCAAGAAAAGTGTAATGAATCTAGTGACTTTTGAAAGACCTTGCTGTGTTGTAGAGAAGATTGCTTTCCTCACATATTGCAAGGTTCAGGGCTGAGAGCCCTGTTTAAAAATTCATATTAGCAAGAGAAAAGCATATAAATTTATTGAATCTAATAAAACTTTAAAATGACTTGAGAGGCTTCAGAAAATGAAGAACCAAAGATCAAGAGATAGGTACATATTTTTATGGACAATATTGAGGAAGTACGATTGGTGAACAAAAGGACATGATCTACAAGGCCTGTTGGTTCTGATAATACTCGGTTTTCCTGTGTGCTGTTTCTTCCCTTTGGATTTAGAGCAGGACACCTGTCACATGAGTCCACAGGGAGAAGGGCAAAGAGAGCTTTCTGCTTTAGCTGTTTTGTCAAATGTCAAAGTGCCCTATTTTGGGGTTGCATTTCCTGAATCCCACCACTGTCAATAAATTATATATTCTCTTGAATCTTTAATGTCTCCCTCCCCTCTTGTCTTTCTCCTTTTACATAGAAACATGCCCATATCTATCATATTAAAACCCAAAAGAAACCTCAGGTCCTCATTCTCCATTCCCTTCCAGTTTCCACACTGTTCGTTCCATTTTCCCAGCAAAGGTAGATTTATTTATGATACTATAATCCCTTCCACTCTTTGGAAATATTTTTCCCCTCTGGCTTCTGAGGTCTCATGGTTTATGGATTCTCCTCTCTGGTCACTACTCAGATTCCTCTGCTTATTCCTTAAATGTTATTTTTGAGATTTTTAACTTCTGTTTATTTTTCTTCCTCCATCTACTCTCTTTTGGAAGTTGTACTTTGATTTTTGCATGCTCTTTATATATGTTGTAACCACCAAATTCTTAAATTCTATGGAGAATTCTCTTCTAGAGCTGTAAACTTTTGTATATTCAACTGTCTATTACATGTCTATTCAGTTCTCTTAAAAAAAAAAAAAAAACAACTTTAATTAAATCCAAAAACAGAAACTCATGGGTTGGGGCTGCAGCTCAGTCAGTGGCAGAATGCTTGGTTAAGCATGAGTGGGGTCCTGGGTTCAATCTCCAATCCAGCAAGCAAAACTTATCAATGTCCCTCCAAATTTGTCTTCCCTCATACTTTCTATATTAAAATGCCCTATCATAATCTAACTGAGGAACTCCCTGAATCATTTCCCAATTCTTCTTCCCAATCATTTTCTTTTTTTTAATATTTATTTTTAGTTTTAGATGGACACAATACATTTATTTTATTTTATTTTTTTATTTTTATATGGTGCTGAGGATCAAACCCAGGGCCTCACATGTGCTAGGCTAGCACTCTACCTATGAGCCACAACTCCAGCCCCCCAATTATTTTCTTTATCTAACGGCACACGAAATCTTTTGATGCATACTTAGGAATTTCTGTTGGATTTTTTATTTCTACTTGCCTTCTTTCTTTCTGGCTTCTCATTTTCTACTGTCCCTCCATTATTTTGAGAATACCATCTTAATGCTTCAAAAGGTTATTTCAGATTCTTGGTCTGGACCATCTTTCTGGATGAATTTTGCCCTTCCATTCCTGCCTCAATTTCGTATCATTTGCCAAGCTTGGACTTCTTGAAGTTGTTAAATAAGCCATGCTTTGTATTCTCTTTGTCTACACTCTGACTTTGTTCAATTTTGTCATTTTAAATAGCTACTTCTCCAGAAAGCCTTGAAGGAATTATGATATGCCATTCCAAAATATTCCCAGTTGGGTTTATTGATTTCATTTCAGACTGGTCACTTGAGGAGCTAGAACTTCAGAAAGAGCCATTTAGCATGTGTTTCCTACCTGCAGCAAGCCCTGGAGGTTCTTTTGAGAGGGATACCCTTTACATACCAAGAATGAAAACTAGCTCTGACCACCAGAGACTGGAAATTAGGGCTACAGTGAATATAAATAAACAAATCAAAAAAAAACATATGAAAAAACAAATAAAAAATTAGTAACTCTAATTTTCTGCTAGCTTCTATGCCTTCCATATGTTTCTTAGTAACATTTCTAGAATTAACTACCTGAATCCCCATATCTATTTGTTCCATCATCCCTTCACAAATTAATCATTCTTTGCCTCAAAAGTATATAAACTCCATGCTTTGGTCATTTTTTTTTTTTTAGTACTTGAATCTCTTGTGAATATCTCCATGTAGTTATAAAATTAATGAAAAAATCATGCTTTTCTCTTTTTAATCAACTCTTATATTAAGTAGGAGCTTAGAGCAAGGCAAAGGCTGACATAAGAAAGGGGGGGGCCATATACTGGGCATTTCTTTGTTGCCTATAGCCTCTTCTACCAGCCTCCCCACACCACTATGAATAAGCATTAAGTGACTCCCTCCTGGTAGCTGAACAATGTCAAGAGTGAACAATAAATTCTTCCTGGTGGAGTGCCATGTTCCTTTCTTATTATGTGAAAATTTTGTTTCTCCCATTATTTCCCGCAAATTTTATAGTTCCATCTGGATAAATTTAATAAAATGATTATACATATGTGCTTGATGATTTACCAAGTAAGAAAAATATTGATAAATATTTGCACATGAGTATTATCTATTTTGTAATTTTCCGCTTTGGAAGTAAATGTGACCTTTCCTTATTTCCTGGTCTTTATCACCTTGTAATTCAAGGGCGAAAGTAGACACTGCTTATATAATATTTTAGGAAAATCAACTAACACTTCATATCTGTACAATAATTCGTGCTCCTATAAAGTGTTCTTGACAGCTTGTCAGTGGGGCAGAGAAGACTGGACATGTCCTAAAGTGCTTTGCAGTGCAAAAAAGTTCACCTCAGTGAACATTGATAGCGACAGTGCCCACAGGTGTCAGGAGAGAGTGCATATTTTAGATTAGTTGGGCAAAAATCAGAATTTAGTCATTAGATATATTCGTCTCTCAGTTTCCCAGCTAAAGGGATGTATAACACTTTTGCTTTTTGTCAGGGTTGATAGTTTATTTGAGAAGAGATGATTCAGTTTTTCCCTGTTCCATGACTTACTCAGTAACTGCTTAAAGCAACAAGATAGTCTGATCTGAATTAGAAAATAGTACCAATGTTCTTTGCTCTTCCTATACTCTACTGTATTTTTTTTTGTTCTCTATGTAAAACTGGGGCATAATTGTAATTCCCTAATAGCAATACTAAGAATATTGATTGGTTGTTGCTTATAATATTGTTTAGATATATGCACCAACTCATAAATAGCACAAACTGTACTATCCGGATGACATTATGTGCACTGTTCATTTTAATTGCCCTATAAATTTCTATTTGATTTTGTTTCTTGATATTCATTTACCTTTCTTCAATCCTATTCATAAAGCATGGTTCAATAAATGTTATCCTTTATTTTTGTTTGTGCTAAAGTGTTCCTAGTGCTAATTTATTTTATTTACTAAGTTTGTTTTACACATAAATCATGCCTCTGTGTTTTACTCTCTAGCACTTCATCCATTTTTATGACTGACTTTCTAGTTTCCCTTCTTCCTCTTTAGTTTGTCAGCTCGTTATTCTTTTATATGTTGTCTTAAACCTCACTTAAATCCCTTTTCCATGTTATATTTTTATTTCACATTTATTGTTTATTATATTACATGTGCGTTTAGCTGAAAAAAAATTGGTGACCATGATGTACTACTGGAATTCTTCTGTGTTATCTAAGGAAGAAAAGACATATAAAGCTAAGTTTCCATGATTTAGATCATACGTATGTAGAGTAAAGCTCATATTCAAAGTAAACATCTCATCAATTTATCAGATTACTTATGTTTCCATATAATTGCCTGAAGAGAAAAAAAATCATAGATTTATTATTTATTTATTTATTTATTTTACTGTTGAGCTACATCTCCAGCCCTTCTGTTTTTATTGCTTTTGAGACATAGTTGCACTAAGGTGTCCAGCTAGCCTTAAACTTTTGATCCTTCTGCCTCAACTTCCCCGGTAGGTGTGATTTCAGGCCACTGTGTCTGTGAGGATGAATAAATGAAATAGATGAGGAAACTGAAAATTATATTGATATGAATCAGAAAAATTGTGTGGTATTTGGTATTGTTTTGAATGCCAGAAATAACTGAGATAGAAGATGTATTTAAGTTTTCCTAAAATGCCCTGAAACCATAGTTTATACTTTAAGATTTTCTTTGCATTAATCTAAAGAAAGGACTTGAACTTAAATCTTTTGATCATAATTTTAATGATCAAGACCATTGCTTTAAAATTTAAACTTTGAACTAGAATTCATATCTAAGTGTCTAGCTAAAGAAATAAAGTACATTTAAAATTGTCCACTAAAATATTGCAGTATTATTTGTAGTGGTTAAAAACAGATGACTGATGACTTTTTTTAAAAAAAGAATTGTCAAGTATAGTATAGAATGTGGAGTTAAGTAGTCATTAAAAAGGATATGTTTATAGAATATTTGTGTCAGCATATGTTTGTATTTATCATATGGTATAAATGAAACAACTAAATAAAAGAATTAAAGCCATTATCTCTGGTGGGATTATTCTTCCATTTTTCGAATAGTCTGCATTTATTGTACTCTCACTATTATATTCATTGGACTTGTATGCAAAAATACAGCATTTGTAATTTAGAATGTTCTACTTAGTAATATATTTATTACATTTTAAGAAAAATAAGCGAATGTTTCCCTTCATATCATAGAAGACATCCATGTCATTTTTCCTCTTTTGGATTTGTAGATGTTTTAGCATCCTAAACATTTGTATCTAAAGGTTGACTGCTTTGAAATTGGAAGGTGGAATGGGAGGGTGGACATGTGGGAGCTAGGAGGGAGAAGAAATATCTAAGGACAATTTATGAATTATCTGAAGCATAGATATAAAATATCACCATGTGACCTTGATTTGCCAAAGATGTAATAGAATATTTTTCTTTCTGATTTCTACAGTATCAAGTCATGGGTTGATAAGATGCAGGAAGACCTTGTCACACTGGCAAAAACAGCAAGTGGAGTCAATCAGCTTGTTGATGTGAGTAAAATCCATCAAAAGAACTTGCTAATTTGAATATCCTTCTGTTTTCTAGAAAGTGTGTATCTATGTTATAGATAGAATATGGTTTTTCCTGTGGATCTAGAAGTGACATTCTGAGAGAAACCCTTGCTACTGTTAGTTATTATGAACAAGAGTGCCACCCCTAACAGTTAATGAAACTCACCACGCTTTACAGTTTATACCAGTTTTACAGTTTACACCAGCTCTCACTTAGATGAGTTACTGATGTGTGTATGTACCAATATTCACAGTTGGGTGCCATGTGCATGTTACCACAGTGTTTCCATTCTTCAGAATATATTACTTAGATAGTGATGACTTCCAATTCTATAATGGTTCTTTTGAATATCATCAATGGAAACTCATCTTTGTTCTTTGAGGATAGATTTTATTTAAAAAAAATGAAAAGTGTTTATAACCATGTCCAGAGATTGGAATGATCAATTGAGATTGCTAATAAAGATTTTGGTGCAAGAAATGGAGATACAATAAAAGGTGATTTTTTTCTTATGATTTCTAAACTGGTTGTGAAAGTTACTTTAAAGTTTTTTTTGGAAAAGGACATGAATATGTGATATAAATATTTTATAGAATCTTAGATTATTTTTCATGGGTTAGAGCATTTATATATATACATTCTGTAAGATTAATCAAAGTTAAATGTCATTTGTATGGGGTCTCACAAATTTAATTTCAGTGTAAGTCATGTAATAAATTTGTTACATGTACTCTCACCTTGTGTTCTTAGTGATACAAGGACCCTGTTTATATTTTAAAATGTGGTGGGTTGATTAAGTGAAATGGTATATGTTTTGACTGTGACCTAGCTCATGGTGTCAACTGTGGAATTTTATATTTGTAGCATTGTTGGGTAATCAGAAAATTTCCAATTTTGGAGCATTTTGGATTTCATGTTTTTAGATTAGGAACATTCACCTTGCATGTGAATATTCCTCTCTGAGAGAAATGGAAACATATTGATAAGTTAAGTATAAGACTTTAAAATTTCTTCTGAACCTCTTTATGAAACAATTATAGAATTAAAAACAGAAGAGTTTTTTATTTGTTCCAATTAGTTATACATATTAACAGAATGAATTTTGATTCATTGTACACAAATGGAGCACAACTTTTCATTTCTCTGGTTGTACTTGCTGTAGAGTCCCACCATATGTGCAGTCATACATGTACCTAGGTAATGATGTTCATCTCATTTCACCATCTTTCCTACCCCTATACCCCCACCCCTTTCCTCCCTCCACTTTGCCCAAAGTTCCTCCATTCTCTCCATGCCCGCCCACCCCTTTATGGGTTAGCATCGACTTATCAGAGAGAATATTTGACCTTTGTTTTTTTTTTGGGGGGGGGGGAGGGTTGGCTTACTTTGCTTAGCATGATATTCTTCAACTTCATCCATTTATTGCAAATGCCGTAATTGTATTCTACAAGAGAGTTTTCATTAAAACTAATATTAGGTTGAGCATATTTAGACTTGGGTCTCATTCCCGAGACATCTCACGTGTGTGTGTGTGTGTGTGTGTGTGTGTGTGTGTGTGTGTGTGTGTGTGTGTATATATATAAGCAAATGGTTCAGAAGAGATTTCAAATCTGAAGAATTTCTGGTCTCAAATCTTTTACATAAGGGTACTAAGCCTGTATCTGTGAGATAAGGAATACATTTGGAAATGAAGGGTATTTCTTGTGAACACCAGTGATGAGATTTAATTCTAATCAATCCTCATTGAGCACATAATGTGTTCCAGGCACTGTGCAGGCTACCAAGAGTAGACAAAGAAACAGTTTCTTTTCTCAGCGAACTGACACAGCTCATCAAAAATCCCCAGTGCTTGGGGTGAAAAGATGCCTGAAAGCTATTGTAAATTGACAGTAGGAATCTGTAGTGATTCCCTGGGGAAGATATGTTACACTGAGAAAGTGTGCAGCATATAAGTGAGACTGATCAATGGGATTTGTGGATGTTTCAGCAAATATTATTTATTAATTTTCATTTAAATACTGTTTAAATTGACTAAGGACTTTCATTCAACCACAAGGAGAAAAAAAAATGACAAATGACAGATTCTGGTTTTAAGTTACATGATGCTTTTTATTGACAGATTGAGATTAAAAATAAGCTCTTGGAAACCTTTTCAGTGCCTCACCAGCCTCAAAAACCACTTGCTTGGCTGACCTCGTTATTTTATTTCGTGTTATGATATGAATCTTCTATTGCCAAATCTGTGTTTTGCAATAAAACATTAAGTAAAAAAATTTCACCGAGTTTCCATTAGGTCTTAGGAAGTATAGATGGCTTAGAAGACTGTAAAATTGTATGAATTAATGACTTTGTCTGAATTAGGATAAAAAAGTAGATGGAAAAGATGAAAATCCCCATAATTTTTTGTTTATGAGGAACGTACCTCAATATAGTGGCAGATGTAATATGTGTAAGAGAATGACATGTTAGGGAAGCTCTCTCTCTCTTCCTCTCTCTTTCTGTTGTGTGTGTGTGTGTGTGTGTGTGTGTGTGTGTGTGTGTGTGTGTGTGTCTGCATTGGAGACTGAGCAGAATTCGCTACAGGAAAAATAATTCAGGTATTAGGGCACATGGAGAGTATTCTCTTACAGGATAAGTGATCCCATTGCTTCCTAACTTTTCCTAGAGAGAAGGTCCATGATTTGGGCAAAAGGAATACATTTTTTAAGCCATGTAAACTTGAGGCAAAAACCGCTTGAAAGATAACATTGTTGAGAATGAACTTTGAGCTAAGTTTGGGGGCATTGTTGTGGGGTTTTGTTTATTTATTTTTGAAGTGCTGGAGACCAAACTTGGGTTCTCATGTATGACAGACACTGACACTGAGGGACAGACATCAGAAGTGTTGAATGCATGCTGAGGACCAGAAGTTGAAGGAGGGGAGGAATTAAATAGGTCCCTGGACCAAAGTTAATATTGTAGAAATTTTGTTTCTTCACAAATCAATTAACGTAATTAATTTTACTGGCTTCACAGGTAAAGCCAGTTTTACATGAAGGCCAAGAACCAATGTAATGAGCCACATTGCTAAAATAATACATCCTTGTAGTTTTATGAAAATTGCTTAATGGGGTCATAAAATATCAGTCTGGGGAAAGTTGATTAATGTTATTGAATGCATTCAATACTCTTAACAGATGTGGATTTTACGTAGCTTTCTTGCCTACCTTCTGTTAGGAATCAGGAGTGAGGAGTCTTAAGAAGTATTGCTGACCCTAATACATTAAAGTTTTCAAATATCTCTTATTGAATTATTATTCCATTATGTAATCATTTGGAGCACATATGTCCATCAATTGGTTCTGTCAATTGTTAGCTTTATAATTTGGCCAAGGTAATGTTATGGAGTTGTTGGAATGATGATACAATCCATATAAACCACAAACTGACATATAAACATAACTCTGCAAATATCATTCATTTGTTGAATTAGTTAAATGTATCATATTGTACTAGTGGGGTACAGGCTGAGTTGATGTGACACAGACAAGATCAGTACACACTTTTCTCCCACATTGCAGTCTAGAGGTGAGCAGAATATGGTTAGCTGGGAGTCCCTGAGATCCTCTCAGCTTGGGGTTTTCATTTCTAGTCTAAGGTGATCCCTTCAGTTGCTCTTATTTCCCAGCCATCAGGTAAAGGAAGACAGAGTAGGAGAGCAGGTACCCAGGCAGTATAAGATGTTTACACACCTTGCAGTAATGAGAGCTTAGTCATGTGGTCTCATAAACCTAGACAGGTGACAAAGAAGGAAGGTCTTTACAGTAATGTGTCCAATGAAAATTCTACCACAATGGAAGGGGCAGAACAAATAGTGGGGGAGATTAAGCAATCTTCCATTGATTCATATTATTATCTGAATATTAAAACGTATTAGTGCTTTGTTAATATAGAATTGAAGCTTTATTTATAAATTTTAAAGATTATAGATCAATAAAAAATTGAGTGACTGGGGTTGTGGCTCAGTGGCAGAGCGCTTGCCTAGCATGTGTAAGGCACTGGGTTTGATTCTCAGCACCACATATAAATAAGTAAAATGAAAGTCTACTAGTAACTAAAATAATATTAAAAAAATAAAAAAAAAATTGAAATGTATCTCCAGATTTTGGAAAACGTTTTTAAACAATCTGAGTTATAGGATATTTTATTATTTCTACACACACACACACACACACACACACACACACACACACACACACCCTTGTAGCTCCCATGCTAGTAAATGGAGAGGGAGAGGCCAATAACATGTTTATAAATAAATAACATTTTAAATATTAAAGTGTTTGTAATATTCTTGAAAACAATGGTTTTAGTGTTTGGCCATCAACCAGTGTTTAATTTGTTAAGAAAATATATCCCCTTAAAAATATAACCAAATTTTGACCAATATCAGATTCATCAAATATTCTAAACTAGTGGGTACTATATAGTAATGAGAATTTGCTTCAGAAAAAGATTTTCAAACAAAAAGTTGATGAGTAGAAACGATTGTCTTTTTCTGGGCAATGTACTTTTTCTTTTTTTTTTTTTTAAATTTTTTTTAGTTGTCAATGAGCCTTTATTTTATTTATTGATACGTGGTGCTGAGAATCGAACCTAGTACCTCAACATGCTAGGCAAGTGCTCTGCCACTGAGCCACAATCCCAGCCCTGTGCAGTGTACTTCTGAATCTAACAGAACTCTGCAAATATGTCAAAATCCTCAGTCACTACATTTGATTGGCGCTGCCCTGGGGACAAGTAACTGCAACAATGTAAGCATTCTATAAGGACCTCAGGCCCCTTCAGGACTTCTCTCCTAGCCTTCTCTTTATTACAGAAGGAAGGCTTCCGTAATTGTCATTGCATTTGATCACTTAACTCTTTATTAACTCTTTCATCTCTAAGGGGAGCGTGTTTGGTATTAGGAAGCAGGAATGAAGGCTTTATTTTTAAAGAG